AAGAAATCGGCTGTGGTCAAACGGTCGACAAAAAGTCGAATCTCCGGAAGAAGTGTTTCCGACTGGAGCAAGAATCTGGACGCTCGATAGGCGAAAGCCTCTACCGTCCTGTGCAACCTGACCTGACCTTTCCAAATTGTCATCGCACCCAGCTGTAACCGTCATCCCTTTTTCCCTTGGTAACCAACCACAAACAGGTTGAGTAACGAAACTAGGCCTAGTCGGCCTTTGCACCAGTTGTTCTCTACACTTGCTTCGTGGATGAAATCCATGCGTTAAGTGGACAGAAAAACATGGATGTTGAATGGTGAACCTCGTGTACTCCACATTTCTAGTACATCTCATGTCAATAACTATTGCACCCACAAATGTGGGCACCTCCTCAAGGTTATCCTTAGCCTTTCAAGTGGCAGCACAGCACTGACAGATAGCTCTCGCGAACTGCGCAGTCCAAACGCTCCAAGGCCGCTTGTGCGATCACCACGTAATTTCTTTTATTTTCTGTGCGCTTGTTCACGCTATCAATTCCCTTTTTTTGAGTTCTGCTCATTTATACAATAATACTTCATTCTACGCTCCATGATGTCTCTCGTTCTTACTTCCTTTGCTCGGTATTTACGTTATCGTGATCTCACTAGGATGTTGACGGCACGAGAAAAGCATAGTATAGGTGTCCATACCAGTACTCGAACCAGGAGCAGTCACAGTTGCCACTTTTGCGCATGCATTGCCGTTCTGTTGATGGATCACCTTGCCATGACGGATCATGGGTACAAAAAAGGTATCGCGCGTTTGCTCGCACTTGCTATGGTCGGTGTCTAGGGTTGTCTGGTTAACTTTCCCTCGCACCTCGCAAAATGCTCCCATACGACTAAGCCTCTGCAGAAGAAGACATACTAACTGCCTCCTCGTGGCGATGTTTTCCCACCAAAGTGAGAGAACGAAGGCCGAAATCCGGGGTTATGACCTGTTTGGTGAACCACTGGTAGTTCACCAAAGGGAGTTGGCACAAGACCCTGATTCCAAACTAACCAAGGGGAGGCGTACAAACCACAGCCCCACCTTAACGGTTTTGTCAGTGGTCACCGGCTCCATTGGACGTTTGATCCCGTCCAAACGGCATATGATCCGATAGACTGGACTTCGGTTTATACACCCCTGCTGCCTTGCTGGTCAGGCTTTGGTTAGCCAAAGTCTCTGGGTGTGGATTCCTCAAGATAGCTTACCTACCTTGGTTTGGGCAACCTGGCAGTTTTCAGCCCGCAAGCTGGGATGTTTTTCTTTTCATAAAGGTTATTTTACCATGATTTGTGTTGCACACAGTCTGTCCTCAGACAAGTGTGAAACATAATAATAATATAATCCGTCATGCAAATTGACCGCGATCTTATCGCCGTTTCGTAAAGTTACCTAATATTATATGGTCCGACGTCCACTTGCTCACGGTTCATGTATTCGGGATATCGTTGGAACATTTCTGAGTGGCATTCTAAGTTACTGGATTAACGATCCAATATTAGAAAGCGTATAGTTCCTTTTGGACAAATATGTATGTACATTAAAGGTCATAGTGCTTTATGGTGCTCTGTATTGCCTGAAAGACAAATATATATGTGAAGATGGCAGACAGGCTAGTGAGAGGAACAAGGTGGGAAAATTTTGGTCAATGAATTGATATGATAACAGCGCTAAGGAATAGTAAACAAGGATTGGGGAAGCCATCCTAAGTCGACTTATTCTAGCCGTCGTCCGCCTCCGCGATGAACCGGAATATGGTTAAAGCACTGCGTACGCAGAAAAGTCTGCGAGTGTGTTTATGCTGGAAATCGTCACAGTTGGGAAATCTTTCGACTATTCGTGCAACACAAGGAAAATAAAGGAGGGAGGGAGAGGGATAGAAAAGTTAGGTAAGAGACATTTAGACAAATTGGGTGGTCAATTAACGGACAAATAGTTCATCTACTATGAAGGATTGGACTAAAATAGTAATTACATATAGTTCACGGTCGTATGTGATCGAAAAGAACCGAAAATGGTTAATCAGAAAAGAAAACCAATGTACGAGCTGGGTCAATCATATTTACCTATGTTGTATTTGGACTAGACGTACGAATGACACGAGCGACTCTTGCTTAACCACCAACGATAATGCGGGGAGAAAACACAGCTTGGGACAACAGTCAGTGTGTGTTCTTCGATTAAATATCAATACGCAACTATGTAGAGCAAATCGTGCATACGAGAACGGCGCAGTGACGCATCAATCAGATTGCGTCCTTGACATATCGATTGATCGACCGGACAAACATTGGCTGACACGTTCTGTGATCATCCAATCAGGTTCAGCCTATCTGGGGCGTTTCGAGCGTGCGTGTGGTCTGACTCGGAGGCATGCGCGGTCGAACGAGTTGCTTAAGCTCCGTCCTAACAACCTATATCATGTTCTTGATCTACTTCTCATTTACAATCTGTTTCCTTTCGTTTTCCCACTTGCACTCAATGTGCCCTCTTCTCACTTTCATTTTGGTGTTGTTGTCATGTCTATCCCAAAACCGGCTCAGGTTACCCACGGGCACTCCATGCCTAATGACCATTCCGGGAGTTCTTTCGATTCTGAAAAAGTTTTAAATGAATCCTAAATTTTTTTAAATAAATGGGTTTTATTTCATTAATATATATAAGTGAACTTTGCTACCGTTCGTTTTAATTGACGTTGACCATGTCCGGATCTTTTGTGTCTAACATGTATCGGATTTTACGTAAAGGGTACTTCCAAAGAGTGGAGGACCGCTCTATGGAGACCCTAATACCGATTATCCAACGCTGGATTCAGCTGGGAAGTACCATATACACGGACCAGTGGGCCGCATATCGGTCATTGTGTTCCCTGGGATATGTACATATGTGTGTAAACCATAGTCATGGCTTGTCAATCCCGCTACTGGTGTTCACACAAACAACGATGAAGCGTTCTGGAGTCTGATTAAACGTCACTTGATGAATGTCACACGATCTGTCAGATGTTATTTGAGAACATCTGAACGAGGTCCAGTACCGACTTTTACAAACGATATTGATACTTATTTAGGACATATAAAACAACTTTATCATTGTTATTAATGATTTATTGCTGAGTAAATATATTTTGTGTTCATTACATGCCTGTTCCCTGCAACAATATTAGTTATCCTACTTATAAGTAGTATATTTCTCATTGCATACATTTCGCTCTATGGGGTGCGAGCGGGTAACCTGAGCCCCAAAAACAATGTCAATGTGCAATATAGGTTTGTCAGCGGCTTGCGAAAAGCAAGGTGCCAACGCAACAACAATAATAACAGAAAATTATAGGATTGGGTGACAGAAGAGAGCCATATGGAAGTTAAACGATTGCAGAGTATCGAAAGAAAAAGAACTTCAATTTCTTTTGTAGTTTATTTCGCCGTACAATTTGTTGATAATTTCTGTTTGCTAAAGGTTCAGAAGACTATTCGTGCAGTACTCGTATCACAAGCTTCAATCAAGCTCCGAGGTACTGAAAACTATCAACTACGTCTTGCCTTAAATGGTGAGTGCAGGCAAAGGCTCTTGTCAGTCATGAACAAGCACTTTGCACTTGGGTGGTGCGAAGCATATACCAGATCTGGATACTTCTATCGCGAAGCGGTTCAACGCATGTTGGAATGCTTGTACATAGTTACCTGGAAAGGTGACGCCGTCGGAAAATTCCACGTCAAGATCTCTGTCTCCTGGAAGGAGTTCAACTCCGCCGTTTGCTAGACCGGATCAAGCATCCTATGGAATACACTACAAAGTTAACAAGCCTTGGGAATGTAAGACAGCTTTGTAGCACTCCACTGCAGATACCAAAGGGTGGTGAAAGCTGGCCACAGAGCCTTAGGCTACTCCGGATATGAAGGAGGTATTGGAGGATCGACACACAATTCTCAAGTACTCCATTTATCAAGCGACAATTCCCTTGTGTAATCCTGTCCACGGAATCGAAGGCCGCGCTTAAGAACATAATGATAGTTGGTCTTTGGAAAGCATAACGGTGCTCTAGCAACTAAAGAAGATTTGATCAAAGCATCCGTGACGGGCGCTAAACCCAGCCTGCTCCTCGCAGGTCTGCTTATCACGCGTACTGTAAAATCTACGATGAATGACGGCCGCTAACAGCTTCGACACTACTGGGAATGGAATGTCTCCCGAAGCACGTAGACCGCCTGGTACAGACAGACAGTTTTAGGATTGTGCAGTTGTTTTGTACTGTATTGGAATAACGATTAAACAGGAAATAAACGACATTTTTACTTCGTTATGAGATCGATTTTATCATTTTATGTACGACGGGGTCATAAAAACTTCTAAATTTCATATTAATCTCTCCTTTACGTCGTGTTTGCGTGTACCATTTAGCTGTGCATTGACTCAAATATAGTTACGGGTTAGGTGATTACTCCATTCCAGTGTGGTGAGTGCGAAAACAGTGTAATGAAGCAAACCGTTTAAAAGGTTGACTTGATTGGGACCTTCTTGTACACAAAGTAACAAGATTCGTTCCGGACCGGATAGAACAATATGAACTATTTTCTCTTAAGCACTTGCAAACGGATTTTACCATCCTATCAAATTAAGCCTCAATGTGCGGACGGATAGAAATCAATAAGAACAATCGTTGATTGTGTAATACCAATCGAAAGATGATAATTATTCTCAGGTGACAAGTTTATTTAAGCAAAAAAAGCCATACATGACAAGTCTTACATAGTAAATAGATGAAAATTAAGTAATCTATTTACAAAACAAATCAACTCCATAACGGTACGCTTGAAGACAGTAAATGTATTGGAAAGCGGTTAGCCAACGAGTGTTTCAAGAACCTCCAGAAAAATAGACAGATAGCGCTCAATATTTAAGGAGGACCCCGTCATTACCAGAATAAATAATCCTGGTATAATGTGGGTTACAGTGAAGACATGTACGGGACAAAACGTGACTCACTTTAGACTAGTTGTTGATAAAAATGGTTTGGAAGCACTGGCACCCCGCCAAAACGCCAAACTTGGCCTACGCTCCGACAGATCAAGTTTGGCCAAAGATCCGGTAAACCGATCACCTTCGTTTGCAGGCCCAGCTGGTTCGTTATCACCCGCACCAGGCTCGGTTCCCTTGAAAAAGTCTGGCAAAGCGACATCTGTCGTGCCCCAAAACGCATCCCGGACCAGATCCGGATGCTCATGATGCATTTCGTCCACAATTAGATAGGAAACCTGTACCAGTCATATGGTGATGAGAATGGAGTATGGTAAGGTGTAAAACAGTATATGGATTGAGAAAATCACATTAAGTTGTATATGGAATGTACAAACCCGGGACTGTGTGCAGCATGCATACTTTTGGTTTCAATCTACCCACAACCTTTTGATCATCTTGATGATAGGCCGCGTGACTGCGGTTTAAACCAACCAGTAGTCAAACACCATACAGTTTCTCCACATCTAAAACTGCCGGCATCAGACTGCCAGTTAACTTTTCTCGATAGCTGGTACTTGTGACAGTAAGCTTTATCTGTATTGCGGCGCACTGCTCGTAGGATCTCATTTGTATTCAACTGTTTTTACAAGTACCTCAGAATCAATTTTAGCTAAAAGCAAACGGCTAAAAGAAACGATTGGTCAAAAACTATATGAACCAAGGACTGAGATGTTTAACCTATAATCAAGTGAATTTTCGTGATTTAAACATCTGAGTACGCGATCCTCCCGTTTCATGGATTTCGGAAGACGCTGTTAATATAATCCCGTTCTCAAGAGGAGAAATATTGAAACTCCGTACAAATAAATCCTCCACTGGTATTGGTCCTAAAGGTCTATCTTCATCCCTTCTGAAGCATTGTACCCTTGATCTAACGGATGCTTTTACATCCATCCTCAACACGTCATTTCGCACGTATTCTATTCCTGATTGCTGGAGACCAATCAAGATCATTCCCATCCAAAAACCGTGTAGATCCAGCACCCATTCCAAACGTTTCTGTCCCATTGCTCTAACACCATGCGATCTTAAATTGGCAGAACATGCCATTCTCAAACGACTTTCTGCTCCTTTCAGTACCCCCTGAAGACCCTCTCTAGTTTGCCTATAAATCAAAAGGTCCAATTTGGATGTAGTTATCTCCCTCGTTCGTTATGTTACCAAATCCTTAGACGCAACAGAAAAATCTGTAAGATGTGTTTTCTTAGATTTTTCATCGGCCTTTGACTTTCTTCCACGTTCCCTCCACCTTCGGAAACTGGAACCATTTGGCTGTCCTAAGCACCCACTGGCATGGCTTATTGACCACTTCACAAACAGAACTCAGCATACTCCGCTGGGTACGAAAACATCCTACACGCATCAAAGTTCGCACGTTAAATGTGGCCAGTTTGAATGGGCATCGAGGGCGAAGAAGGGCTTTCGCTGGTGGAGCATTCGGTGAGACTTGGACGGCTGTCGAAGTAGGACACGAGAGAACAGCGGCAGAGTTTCCATCTGAGGCCCTTCTGTTAGCACGATCGTCTGAAGAACCCGGGAGAGGGAATGGGTTACGAGGGTGAAGGTGGGATTGGGGAGGGCATGAGTGTGTGTATGGTGTAGAGTCTTTATCTGTAGGTGCGGAAATGGTAGACTGAATGCACATGAAAGTTGAAGAATTCATCATTGCTCGTGTTGTAGGCTGTTGTGCTACTCGGTCGCCCAGTTCAGAGTAGGCCTTGTTCGAGGATGAACTCTAGCCTTTGGGCAATCAAGCGCGCACTGCAAGGCAGCAGCGATGTTCCAGATAAGCCGGTGGCCAGTATATTTGGTTCATTCGCCTCTTCTGGAAAACCTTGCCGAACAGTAGATTTCGATATGGGGCGATGGCGATATTTAGTGGCGGGCCACACAAGCCACGTCACAGCGCTGTCCACAGATATGTGTAGTGTTTGTGCGGAGTACTCTTGTCAGGAGGTAAACCCACCACATTCTCGAGCGCTGTTGATGATCATCCGCGACCACTTATTCGGAGGGCTGAAGCCTACCTTATTCACCGTAAGCCGTGAGCTGACGACTGTTCCCCTATCCGCGACCTAGGGACGCGTTCGGTAGCATAGACCTATGCTCTCTGTCATTACTGACCGACTAAATTGCCGTTTCGTAATCTACAATTTCCTTCTCTGACAGGATATAACTTCCCATTTCGCTCATGTAATGTCTACTTCTTTACCATTGCCTTATTTTCTCTTTGTGGCATGTCGCTCCTCTTCGACGAATAGGTTCAGCCTTATTATTAATATCAACTGACTGNACTGACGGCTTCTAACTGAACGTAGGCTCTTGAATATTGGTTCCACATGTGTTGTAAATCAGATAAAAGGGAATTATTATGACTGTAAGTATTTGATAGCACTGCTGTATGTAACTGTGCAATCGGAAAAGCCCAACTGAGTAAAAACAAAAAAATATGTACACCAAGTGTAAACACATGAGTGATAACAATAAATAAATAATAAGCAGTAAAAATAAGTTGACGGTATGCTTTGTTAACAGAATTTCCATTTCTTATTTCACACAAATCTGAATTCAGATTCTGTGCCAAACAAATCGTAGTACAATGATCATTATAAAGCGATTTAAAAACATTTCATATGTTTGTAGGCGGAATACTACCAGGTTTCCCAGGCCAAAGCATGTGAATTTTCTCGGATAAATCACAACCGGAGCTTTTAACTAGCCAAAGCATGATCCTCAAGGCAGTGGTGAGGTGTGAAACCCGCAATCCATTGGGGGCCGGTGTCCAGTTTATCGGATCATACGCCCTTTGGACGGCCGTTGAGCAGTGCTTCCTCAGCAGAAGTTATTGAGAGGCTTGGTCGTATGGGAGCATTTCGTGACGTGAAAGGGAAGGGTGACCGGCCACAACCTAAGGCACACTCTGACCATACTGAAGCTTTCTGAGGCCTCACCTACATTAAGTGTTTTTCCTTACTCAGTAATCTGAGTTTTCAAAGTATAGAAAGCTGACAACTCTCATTGAGTCCTACAACTCCTATGTTACTGTTTTCAAACCCGAACGGTAGGTTTCTTCTGGGTTGCAGTAAGTGTTGTTGAGGTTCCTTATGACTGCTGATGCGTGTCACTCTGCTTCTTTACTGTTCAAGTAGTTACTCTGTGGATGGATGAGTGGTTTTTATGTTCTTTCATCTTTCTTACATTAGAGGAGATATCCCCGTAGTTTGAAGAAGATTTGCCCATAGTCTACTTATTACGTTTCTTGCTATGAAATTCACCTTATATTCTCGCTCACTGTTCGAGAAAATGCTCACAATGTGGACGAACTGGATGTGGCATTGATTAAAAATAGAAAGCGACGTGGGACGCACACACACACACACCTATACAGTCAAAATATACAACAGTCTGGTCCGTTCTATTTCGTACGATTTAGTGTGACTCAGCGCCCAGTTACCGGTCCTGTTGGATTCCAGTCCGTTGACTTCCGTGTGACATTTTGCATCTTGTACTACTCGATGAGTGCCACTCACACCATAGTGTTTCATATATTTTTCTCAGGCCAATGTATCGTGTCCAAACATATCAGTTTCCATTGTCCCCGTCACTTGCTGAGTTTATTTAGTTCCTAGTTCGAATTTGCTATATGACAACATTTGTGTACAATATTAGTTCAGATAAACAAGATCTGTTTGAACAACTTCATTATACCGTCCTATGTGATTGAGTTTTTCTTATCCATGCATGAATCATCTTTGCCTGATTGTGTTAAATAGAAACAGATGCACGAGCTACACGTTTTCTCATCAAGCTTTGGCTAAAACCCGCAATACTTTAGCCACGACCTGTAGTACTTTAACTTTGACCCACAAACTTTAATCATATTATTTGTAGAAAACAATGCTTCCATATTCGTTGACCTCAAAATATACCGATACATTCTGATTTGATTCGCCTACAGCTGTGGTTTAGTAAATGTGATTCGGAGTTCATCGTCTATCTGATGGTACTTCACTTATGCTTTGAACAGTAGAGTTTGATTGGTAACGAACAATAAATTAGTCCTCCGACCGCCCGAAAACTCCTCTGTTTGCCGTTTTGGTTTGTGCTCGTCCCATTCATTTGGGGAGTATATTTGGACATATTGTTTGGTAAGTGTTGCAGAAGAGGACGAATGGTTCTTCAGGCTTCTCTCACAAATCTCATCTTTGAATTACAATTGCCCTCTTGTACTCCAATAAATTTCAAGGTTTGATCCAGAATAAAGCTTACATGGTCCTCAAGTGTACTCTCCTCCTCGATAGTCTGATCACTTAAAAAGCATGCACTTGCGATGCATGTGAGACTCCGATAATGAAACCTTGCTACTTCTTTGTACTGTCATGATCTGTTATGGTACACGCAGTGCACCATTTTTTGACTGTTGCCGTCTCGAACGAATGTATAAATCACACTGTCTGTGCAGCCTCTTTTTCACTTTCACTTCGATGTCTCCTCTTTAGCTTCCGATCCTTCCATTTGTATACTGTGGAAATCGGGAAACGAATCCCCAGCCAAATGCAAACCGAAATTCTGAATAAGGTTGTCAGACTGAAAATTTCAGTGACCCGGGTACATTCCGAATTTCACACATGAAGGCCACCTATGCTTTTTTGATTGTAAAACCTTGAGAAAGGTTACCCACGGTAACCGAAACGTCGGCGAACATAATTCTCTACCGACATCGCTGTGCTATTGACACTATAACATTAGCATTCACATAACCCAAGAGTGGGTGGAACGAATTTCCCACAGAAATAAAGCTCAAGCGGTTGAAAAAAACAGCACATCTGTTCGGCCGCATTCTGCTGAACTCTTTCTGTCCACGGAGTGAGCAGCGAGTCATTCGGATTGGCCGATCGCTCTATTATTTCATCATCGTACGACCAGAGGTGGATTCATTACTGTATTCACGAGTGTTTTACGTCAATATTGGGTCACCCATCTCTTTCTCTTCTGGGTTCTTTGTTATTTAAACTGTCGCTAATTGGGTTGTTCTTCCGTGAATCCGATAAGCTTGTGTGTTGTTTGTGCGTGTTCGCGTACATAGATTGCATGTGGCTGCCCTGGAGTGGTTTCCCTTACCTCACTTGGAAGCGTGACCTGATTCTACACATTTACGACCATTCATATCAGGGCAGACGTGATTTCATTCGTCGATTATCCTGTATCACTCTAAGCCTCACGCATTCACGTTGAC